TACATAAAACTATTTCGTGTTATACTGTACTTACATTGTCTTGATCAAACTGAAGTGCATGTGGACACCTTTTGGGTCCTGACCAGAATGGGGCACCGGATGAAGTCACCTACACAAAATAAATTAATATGCATTTATTGTCTAAACTAAGGACACTGGAAAAAACACCATCAAATATTAATGAATTCAATTTCAACAAATCAAGAAGTTCCACATTATGTTAAAAGACCTCCAAGCCTGTATTTATAATATTTGTAAGTTTGATTTTGGAAACAATACCAATATCGTTTCTACAAAAGCTACTGTTAGCAATTATCTTCCCAACATTAATGATGTTAACATTAGATATATGCTGAGAATTCTGACTAAGCCAACACATTGAGAGGAGCAAATCGGCACTTGCTGAAAAAAAAATCCAAAAAAAAGCCCAACATAACCACAATATAAGACTTTGTGGATGACTACTATAGTGCTTCTGATGTGACTACAACTTACACACAGACAGATACTGGAAATCACTATCCCCCACCAGCACTGTGAACCAGGAGGTAATAAAGAAGTTTTACACTTAAATAACCTTGACTGAAGCACATTCTACATGCATCAACTTTATAACCAGGACATTGTTATATATACATTTACTGTCAGGAATAATAATTGACTAGTGGGTTACAGCACTCACCCACAGTAACACCTACCTGATCTGGTGGAAAGTTGAACAATAGCTGTCTAATTTGATTGCTGTACTGAACTTGAAAATAATTTCTAGCCCAGGCTACACAGTCATCAAAGTTTGCAGGCCTGTCATCCACTAAAGATTTCTTTATACTAATTATTGTCTCCAACTGAAAAACAAAATGTAATACAGCTACCTTATTTTTTCCGATTAGAATCGCATCTACCTTAGAAGTGCATTGTACAACAAAAATTGCTTAGGTTGTATACTAAATCATTGAAATATTATTTGAGCATAGAAAAATCTATAATTAACGTAAACACATGCGGTAGAATTAGATTGATTTATAGGCTTCAGATGAATCTTGCTTATTTTCAAAGGTTGAAATTTTCTAGGTATGATTTGACACATTAAACGTAGAAAGGATTATCAGTATTACTAACAAACCACTAAAGCTGATAATGATACAAAACAGAACACACTACTCACTGGTTGCATGCCAGGAAGTTTCATTGTTCTTTCCATGAACTTGGGATCTCTGAAATAAACAAAACATCACATTAGAAAAGAACCTAAACCAATTTTTTTTTTCAGGGTTTTCATTGGAGAAAAAAAAAGTACATTCTCCTGAACTTTCATATCTATAAAGTTGCACAAGAATGATCGTTGTTTATCATTGGACAAAATATATACATGCATATATGACCCAATGTGGCCATGTCACTTAAATTAACCAATCCATGTCGTCAGAACAGGCACAGATGAGATATTGATTAAAAGTGGCAAAATTATGTTTCAAGCCTTTGCAATATGTATTCTGTAACAAATTCTTGCTAAGCCCTTCGCCTTCCTAATAGCTGAGCAACACCAAGCAGTCTCGTATGTTCAGTTGTGATATCAATATTCAATGAAGCATTTCCTGGAGATGCACATCTGAATTGCGAGTGGTTTTCAAATGCACAAGGTCAAATTCATAGGTTGACTATTCTACTTGTGCAACAACCGCGTCTGAGCATACATCTAACATTACTTACTTCCTAAGTTAGTTATGTTTAGCACATACCCAAAGCAGAATTCAAACTGCACTGCATGAAAGGATTATAGTTAAAACATCAATTAACAGTCATTAAACAGTGCAATGCACAAGGTTTCTATCTGTTTAATTAGCAAAATTTACAGAACCTTCATATTTGATTTTTGGCCAAGTTATTCAAAATTGAGAGGGTTTACTCAGTAATGTCATCAAAAGGAGTATTAAATAAAGAGACAACTTACGATAAATATTGATTAGCATTCTCTGCAGGATTTCTAAAAAGACCTTCAAATTCATCTCTAGCCCATTGTAAAGTATGTTCTATAGCGTTAGGGAAATTCTTCAATGTACATATTGGGATTGACTTTTCTGGCGGGTCTTGTGAAGACGAGTAGGATTCTGTGACATATGGTAGGACAACTTGCACATTACCCTTAGTCCCAAGGGTACCCGATTCTAATAGAGATTTTCCATAGTACACACATCGACGATCCATATACATTCCTACAAAATACAAAATATGGCTTTGCTACTTTCAAAATGTACAACTTTACCTGGATCTTCTATTAGTACCCGCTCAGTACATGGGTTTTTTATAAAACATTTTTGCATTTGCTTACTCAGAGGCACTCTAGGGTGCAACAACTTTTGCAATTCAATTTTCATATAATTGTGATGAATTTTGTAGAGCCCCATCTCATAAGCATACAACAGACAACCTAGGCTTACAGATTTCACTGAGTTGTTTGCTTTATACAGGTATTTCACAGTGGAGCATATTTAAACTGAACATCAAAGCCAAAGAAGCTACTCTTTCAATGTTGTTAGGGTTTATGGCTATAATCGATCAAAAAAAGCATGTAAACAACTCTTTGTTAAATATGACATGCTCAATGAATTTAGACAAGAACTGTCAGAATCAAAATCTAGACTTATACTATGCAAGTCTCAGAATAACTCAAATATGTTCCACTGTACTATTTAGATATCTACTTACTTGCGTCAACGTTATCTAACGCATTAGCTACTCCATCTAAAGCTTCAAAGAAGTCATCATTGTAAATATTTTCAGTTTCTGGTCCAACACGATCTTGATAAGAAGTAATATTCATGGATGGATTCATCTGTTTCACTGCTGCAGCAGCAGTATCAGACTTCATTTTCTACAAAACAATATTTCAGGATTTGACATTTTTAGCACATTGTAACAAGGTTAGTATTTTGTAAACTACGTCAATACGTCTTCATAGATATGCCAATTACGTACGGAGGATAATTGCTCTGTTCGAGTTACAAGAGAGTAAACTCTTCTGTAGTGAAATAAGGGTGTTGTTTTAGTAACAATTGCCACTACATGTCGTTGGTCTCAGCATAAAATGCTATTAAGACATTATTGTGAAATAAAAATGGGGCTTTAGTAACACAGTTTTAATTTATTTGTAATGTACATCCGCCTCAGACCACTAAGTATACAGAACTGATGATTACTATTACTACGTATTATTGGCTCACCTGCACATCCCATGGTCTAAATAGAAACTGTCTATTGAGATTGGATTTTTCTATGCTATCCATGTCTGTTACCGTCAGCATACCACCTTCACCGGCACTCAAACCCATCAAAGCAAAATTCTTCAATAATTCACAACCAATAGCACCAGCGCCAACCTATCAAATCAATTGATATGCGAAAATATGCATCAACAGGTGGTTTTTGTGAAAATGTAAAATTACCATATTTGGTCTATTAGTAGGGCATACACTTACATAAATTACAGACGTTTCTATGAACAAAATAATTAATATTTTAATGATTCAGTATATACCAAATGTGATTTTCGGTTTATATGCACTTCTAACAGAGCAAATACAGTCGTCATACCTCAGGCCACGAAAAAAAAAATACAACGAGTGCTTATATACCCCCGTGAGGATTCTTAATATGAGTAGGGAAACTTTGATACAAATATACAATACTGTGATTGGTCAATAAAAATGATGTGGTGTTGGGTTCAAGGTCTTATCTCGTGTTGTTACATTCGAGCTTAGGCGGTATAAACGATGTATATAGCAGTATAATAATATAAAACGATACATAATATCAGTAATAATAGTACTTAAACAATAAACATATCCATATCTATTTCCGACAACGCTGATAACTCATTAAGACCAAGATCAGTAAAAGACTTGTATGTATATACAACAAATCCTGATTCAACTGGCTTGCTTTTCCTATTCATAAAAACTTGCAATTGTTGAAGCAAGTATCAACATCAATGAATTAATTCAGGGCAGTCTAAAAACTAGCTAAATGTGAGGGTATACTTTGATCGTACTGTAGAATTCAGCTGCAGGATTGTATGGGACATCTCCCATACAAATTGATTTATTCCTAATAAGAGGGCTTTCAAATATTTGAGAAACGAAAAGATTAGTATTTTTTACTTACACAAATATTTTTGTTTTCTCACTTTTCTTGAAACTTCTTACCAAATACAGCAATTTGAGATCATATCTGCTGTTT